GCCCACAGCAGTTGGCTAATCTGCACCCGGGCCCTGGCAACACCTGTCGCCAGGTGAGCCAGACCCACGTACCCACCTCCCTGGCCTTTACATTTTCCTCGCAGCTAATGGCATGTGGACTTGTGACGTGGGTGGGCTGCCACCACCAGAGGCCCCACGGAGGACTGGGGCAGGGCCTGTTCAAGCCCAGAGCCCTGGGCCCGCCCCGCCTTCTGATGTCTGTGGTCTGCGTGGGGGCCCAAGAGGCTGCACCTTTAATAAGTTCCCAGGTGAGGCTGCTTTGGGTGCAGCGTGCACACGGGGAGAAAGGCCGGCCCGGGCAGTTCGCTTCCCTCCCTCCCACCTGTAGAGAGTGAGTCTGGAGCCCTGCCCAGCCTCAGGTTGGGTGTGGTGCTGTGGCAGGGACCCTGGGCGCAAATGGGGTCCTGGCTGCCCACCCTCTGCTCTGCGATCCTGTGCTCTCCTCCCTACTCCTGCAGCCACCCTGTGAGACAGTGGGGTCTCTGCTCCTTCCTCTGTCAGGGGCTGGCAGTGCTTGGCACATGGCTGGTGCCCAGTGGATATCTGTGAGCAGAAGAATGTGTAGCTATTCATGCCATTGAGTACTGGGAAGAACAGAGGGGTCTTATGTCGGGCACTAGCACTCACTCTATGACTCGGTATTGGGGTCTGTTACATGCCAGGCACGGGTGTGATGTGGGATGGAAACAGGAAAGCCTGGGCCAGGAGGAGGAGGAAGAGGCTGCTCAGATGCCCGAGGACTCCGTCCTGCTATAGGCCCGCTCAGAGCTTCCCGGCAGCCTTTGGGAAAAGGGAAAAGGTTTCTTCTGAGGGGGCAGCTGATTTCCTGCTGGTGAGCCAAATCCCACACCAGGCCCTGGGAGGCACCGCCACAGGGGTGGAGGTGGGTTGGGTGGGGCCCGGCCGGGGCGGAGGGAGCGCCCTGCGTCAGGGCATGGCTAGGCCCCGCTGGGACTCGGCTCTGGGAAGGCTGCTGCGGCAGCCTCCCCAGCCCGTTTCGCCATCTGCGCGTTCCCAGGGCTCATCGTGGGGGCCCCATGGGACGGGGGGGTGCGAAAGCCCCTTCTGGTCTCCAAAGCAGCAGACACACAAGCTGTCGGCAGTCTGTTTCCTGTAAAGGGACTTTCAGAAGCGCGACAGGGATGATTGGTCATGATAAGAGCTATCTGTGCGAGCGCGGGCTCTCCAGGCGATGCTGTGAGCACCGGAGAGCAGGCTAGTGACGCCTTTAACCCAGGGAAGGCGCCGGCTGCCGCCCGGCCAACAAATGGGGAGCCAGAGGCACAGAGCGGCCGGGTAACCTGCTCAAGGCCACTCGGCCTGGTAATTCTCCGCTGGCATTCCACGGCACATGGGCGTGAGACGCCAGCGCCACAGGCCCAGGGTAGAGGTTTGTATAGCAAATGTTCCTGCGTTGGATGAAACTTGCAGGACCACCTTCGCCTGCACGTGGGAGGGTCTCTACAGTCCCGGGGGGCTCTGTGTGCGGCTGCAGAAGGTGGGAGGTGAGGCACAGTGAGGTGTGCTTAGGGGTGGGCTGGGCTCCCCCGGGCTTTCTCCTGCCTCAGCCAGTATCCAGAGTGGCTCAGGGCACCCGAATTGGTGCCTGGGTCTGGGCCCCTCCTGGGGGCCCCCTCCCTGCATATTTCCCTGTCCAGTGCTGGGCACTTGGTGATACCTGGTGTGGCACCTGTACCTGGACTCTCAGAAACATCCTCAGAGGCCCCATCAGTCCCACCTCTGCCATCTGGGGATGCAGCCCAGGCCCCTGGGGGTGGGTCACTGAGGCCAGCAGGCTCCCACTGTCTGGAGGTTGCACTTGCCCCACCTGGGGGCCTTCACAAGCTCCTTTTAATCACTTAGGAGAAAGATGGGGTCCTGTCCTGGCCATGGGTGCGGTCAAGGGGCAGGAGGGGCCCGGCCTCTTCAGAGAAGGCAGCCCTGGGTGAGGTTTCTCTTCCAGGGAAATGCCAGAGGTGGTGGAGTTCAGGTCTGGGTGCGCCTCAGGTCATCAAGCCTGATACCCTTGTTTTACAGACAGGGAAACTGGGGCAGAGGGCTGCCAAGATGGTGCTGCCACAGACAGCCTGGAGGGTGCCTGTGCCCTGAGGGTCTGCGGCTGGGGGTGGGAGAGCATGGGGAGGCAGTGGGGTCTCCCTCCTCTCCTGTCCCTTGGGTCACACCCTGGGGCGAAGGGGGCCTTGCCCCAGAGGAGCTTGGCGCCAGGCTGTAGGCACTCATGGGTTTTGGTGCCACCAGGGCTGCGGCGCAGCTACACAGAGGCACACCAGGCGCGGCCAGCTCAACCTCGCCAGTTTTCACCGGCACGTAGGCTCCCAAATGAACGTGCATTCTGGAGGCCCTCGTACGCCGCCCTGCTCTTCACGGACATGGAAGGAAGGAAGGTAGGTGTGTGTGAGGGGGAGACAGTCAGGGCCTCCTGTTCTCGTGGTGGTGGGTGCAGGGTTCTGCCATGAGGACTCACCGAAGTGCCAAGCAGGGGCTAGGGGAGGGTGTTGGCTGGTCACCGCAGCGGGGGTGCCCACTGGGGAGGGTGGCCCGGCATCCATCAGTGGCGATCAGTGGGATCAATGGTGACCCCCAAAAGAGGTGTCCAAGGCCTCACCCCCTCGGTCTACGGAGGTGAGTTCACCAGAAATAGGGTCTTTGTAGATGCGACTGTGTTGGGTGGAATGACAGGTGCCGGCATAAGAAGAGGGGTGACAGGCACACTGGGGAGGGGCCATGCGGACAGAGGCACAGGCTGTGGGGGTGCCGCCAGCCCAGGAGCCCGGACCCCCTGCCGCGGAGGCAGGAAGGACCCTCCCCTGGGCCTCTAGAGGGAGTGCGGCCCTGCCCACGCCTTGATTTTGGACTTCCAGCCTCCAGACCCTGGGTTGGTTTGCTGTTTTGAGTCGCCTGTCTGTGCTCGTCGGTCACAGTGGCCCCAGGACCCTCGCGCGCCCCTGATGCGCTCTGCGAACTCAGCAGCTCTTTGCTGAGCTCCAGGAGATCCTGGAAGGTGAGTCCAGGGAGCTCAGGCCCTCGCAGTGGGATCGGCGCTCGGCAGGATGGTGTTAGGCCCTGGTCCCCGGCTGCTCTTAAAGGGGTGACCCAGAGCAACTCCGGGAACGCGTGCAGGCGCCTGGTCCGGGGGCTGCCAGAGAGGGCATCTCTCCTGGCCGGTTCACAAGTGGTGGCTCCGAGGCTGGGTCTGGGTCGGGGAAGCATGTGGCTGCGTGATGGGACACGCACCAGCCCCTGTGGGGCCCCAGCTGTTCTGCTGTGGCCTTGTAAGCTGAAGTAGGGCTTGGGGACCTCAGAGGATGCCCACCCGGGCAGGTTTGCCTGTTAACAGCACAGCGTAGGTGACAAGCAGGCTCAGAGGTGACGCCGGGGAGGGCTTGGCCCCGGCTCTGCGGGAACCCCTTCTGTGACTTGCTCTCCTCTGGCCTTAGTCTCCAGGTGTGTGACGCGGGATGGAAATGACCGGGGGGCATCGGGGAGTCAGGGCAGGGAAGAACACCAGGTGCCATGCCGACATTTCCCAGCGGCCCTGCTGCCTGATGTGTCTGTGTGGCTCCTTAGTGACCACAAGGGGCACGGAGAGGAGCGGGGTTCCCATGGGCTCCCTGGGTGCTGCTCCCGTCACCTGGCACCCAATGGGCAGTGCTAAGGTGCTGGCTGGCCTCCCTTACCACTGGGTACCTCCCTCCCACCCCCAGGTCCACGCACAGGCACTGGGTCCCTGCTGTGCCCCTTGTTTCAGGGGTGAGGTGGGCACCTTCTGAAGAAGCCCCCAAGGTGGTGCCAAGCAGCACCACCCCACAGAGGAGGTGGGCACCAGCGAGGCAGCACCTGTGCTGGCCCAGCTGGGGCAGGGTGTCCTGTGGGCCTGGGGCAGGCACCTTGTTAATCCACCTGATGCCCACAGATCCAGCTTTGGGGACCGGAAATGCAGATTCTTAATGCTGCCCCTCCTGGGAGTTGGGTGGGGGCCCCAGAGGTGATTTGCATACAGGTGAGGCCCAAGACAGAGGCCTTAGGCGTCTGGAGGCCCGGCCAGGTAGAGGGCCAGGTAGGATGCGCACACCTGGAGGGACACACACGCAGTGCCTGGGCCTGCCAGCGGAGGGCAGCAGAGCTCCATTAGCGGGTGTCCCCAGAGGCCCCCTCCCTCCCCTGCGCTGGGGGGCGGTTCCCGGTCTGGTGTCTCCTCTTCCCACAGCCCTTCTTGACCCCAAGGCCTGCTCTGGAGCTTCCTCTGGCCTCACAGCCCCTGCTGTTGTCACTCACTCTGCTATTCTTACTGGCCTCAGGGATGCCAGGGGGCTCGGTTGGTGGCAGTGTCCTGGCCCACTGCTGGCCCCACACATGAACAGAACTGCAGGCTGTGGGACGGAGAGTAACCTGGCCTGCTGGAGGGGAGGTGGTGGGACTGCTCGGCGCCCAGCCGGGAGACTGCCGGCAGCGAGGGCGATGGCCCGGCCCGCTCTGGCCCTGGGGACTCCTCTGGGTGGGTTGGAGCGGCCCTAGTGCCAGGCCCTCCTGTGAGCCGCTGTGGAGGCAGCCTGCAGCCCCTTCTGTCTGGGTGGGGCCGCTTTGGTCCCCTTGGCACGAGGTATCTGCATTCGATGCCTAGAGCAGGCAGGGTTCCTCCTGGGTGGTCTCTTGCGGTTCAAAACCCCTTACTCTTTGTGGGTGCTCCATTCACGCACCTTATTTACCCAGAAACCTGCCTCTCAGATGGGCTCCCCACCACCCAGGTCTCTTCAGCGTGACAACCTCCCCATAGCTCTGTGAGCACGTGCCCCAGGGCCTTTACACACCCCCTCACGCCCCGTCTGTAGGTTCAGAAGCCCTTCTGCCCCTTGCCTTGACTTCCTCCTTGGCATTTCCCATTGTCTGGGGTCGCTTATATTTTGGGGGTTATCTGTCTGTGGCTTCTCGCTGGAATATAAACTCCATGAGGGCAAGGACTTTATTTTATTCACTGCTGAATCCCTGGTGCCCAGAATACTGCCTGGCATCTAGTATGTGCTCTGTAGCACCTGCTGGCCAAATGAATGACGAGTGAATGGGTGCCTGACCGTGTGCCCAGCCTCCAAGTCCCCCTCTGAGCAGCCAGGGTGTGGGGGTGAGGGAGGGAAGCTCCCCAGTGTGTCCTTTCATTCCGGGGGATGTGCGGCCACCTGGCCCAGGTAGGGTTCAGGCTGGGAGGGACCCTGGTCCTGCTCTCAGATGTGGGGTCTGCTGCACCTTTTGCAGGAGAAGCCCGTTGTCACCTGCACCTGGGGCTCACAGACCGTCATGCCTGGCTGGTAGAGGAACAGGGTCCAGGACATGAGTCTGGCTTCTCTAGCCCCACAGGTGCTGGACCACAAGTGGTCTGGAGGGAGGGATGGGGCTCCGTGAGGTGCACCCAGGCCCAGGAGCGCCAGGCCCAGGAGTACTGGGCTCAGTGGCACCAGGACGTAGCTAGGATGACAGGCCATGAGGAACCAAGGGGCCACACCCCACCTGTTCTTTGTCCAGGCTCAGCCCCTCTTGAGGACAGGCAAGTTCCTGGCTCACCATTTCATGCTCCAGGGACATTGACAAGGAGGGGAATAAAAGGGGCCTGAACCCATGTGCTTGGAAAAAGGGTCCAATAAACGCAGTGCTGGCCCATACCTGGTGCAGACCCTGAGGCCCCCGGGCCTGCTTCCCCCAGTGCCGGCCCGGGGCTCGCTCTTCATCATCATACTTGCTTGCACGATCGAGTATTCTCGCTTCCATCTTACAGAGGAGGGAGCCGAAGCTCAGACCATCGTGGAATAAAGCCCCCGTAATTCTGTGCACGCCTGGGCCAGCTGCTTCCAGACACCAAAGTGCTGGCCAGGTCATGGGACAGAAGGGAGGGTTAGGAGTCACCCCAGGGAGGACAGCGCAGAGCGACGGGGGGCTCGTCACCGTGGGGCAGGTCCAAAGGTGGCATGCGGGAGAACCGGCTGATTCCCAGTCCAGAGCCCAGCGCGGGCTGGTGGCAGGTGGGGCCCAGCCGGATACCCCGGGGCTCCTGTGAGAAGCACTGGGCTCCGTGGGCTCCACGAAGGTTTCACAGGCCCCGCCAGAGAGCCCCTGGGAAAGTAGCTTCTCGGATCAGATCCTCTGGCATTTTTTGAGATGCAAAGAATGTGTTGGGGACATTGGGGCCCCGCGGTCTTGCTTTCCATGGGGTGCATTGTTTTGCTTCATAACTAAAAGGCAGTGACTCTGCCCACTGCTGGCTGTGAGGGTGCTCGGGACGGGATCTCCGCTCCGGCCTGTCCGTGGTGCACAGTGGCCAGGGGAGGGGACTCCAGGCTGGACACTGTGGGGCTCTGGGAGGACTGTGCCTGGCTGGTTGTGAGCGGAACACCATCCTTCAGGGTCCTGGGGCCTGTGTCCCTGGTGGAGCTCTGGCACCTATATTTTTTCCCAGAACATCCCCAGTTGACTGGACATATGGCCAGAAAGGGAAGTTCATGTGGCAGGGTAGGAGCTGGCTGGCATGGCTCTCCCCAAACACAGGCTGCTGGTACGTTGTTCTGACTTCCTGGGGTGGCTGTGATGAAGTACTGCTACCTGGGGGCTTTGAATGACAGAAGTATCTTGTCTCACTGTCTGGAGGCCACAACTCCAAGATCTAGATGTGGCAGGGCTGCACTCCACCTGGAGGCCCCAGGGGAGGGCCCTTTGTGCCTCTCCAGCTGCGGGGGACCAGGCGTCCTGGCTGCAGCCGTGTCCCTTGGCCTCTGCCTCGTCTCCGCACGGCCTGATCTTCTCCGTGTGTCTCCCCTTTTAGAAAGACACCAGTCATTAGGTTTAAGGCCACCCCACTCCAGGGTGACCTCATCTTTGTTATATTGCAAAGACCCTATTTCTAAATAAGTCCACCTTCTGAAGTCCCAGGTGGCATGGATTCTGGGGAGTAGGGTCTCCTCTCTGATGGACGTCACAGGTGGGTACCTCTTGCCCTTCTTACCTGATGGATGCCTGAGCCCATGTGCCCAGGGCCACGTGCTGGACACAAGAGGGCATGGAGTGCAGGGGCACAAGCAGTGCAGCAGTGTGGCAGATGGTGGGGTCTGTTTGGGTTCTGGTCTTCCGCTTGGAAGCGGGGCCGCCAGGACCCAGGCCGTGTAGTGCCCATGCCCTGTGATGGAAAGTGTGCATTTTACTTGTGCCCAGCCCTCCCTGTTCCAGAAAGGGGCTCCCATGGATGGGGAATTAAGTTTGTGCCAGTTTCATAGGCGTCCTCCATGCCTGCACTGACCGCCTTTCTGTCTGGGTGCCGACACCATGTCAGCTGGCAGGGCCTCCCGTCCTTCTGGCTTGGCGTCTCCTTGCCCCAGGCCTCTCTGTCAAGTGGCTAATGATGCCTGAGTAAGCAGGGTGGTGTCCTGGGGGATCTTTTGAGACATTGGGATCAGCGGGGCACACTTGTGGGCAGCCCCCCACCCTGGGCTGTTGTCTGGGTGAGACGAGCCGGGCCTCCCTCGGTCTCTGGTTCCCCGGCAGCTCGCTCACCGGCACCGAGAGGCAGGGACACCTGGAGGGACTTTTGATATCAGGATGGCCGGTGCTTTTGCCAAGAGCCCCCAGATGTCTGTCTGGCACAGGCCCAAGCCGATGTCTCAGAGGGCAGCTCCTTCCAGAGAAGCTTTTGGGAAACACCTTTGACAAATGGCTTCATGCAGAGGCCTGAGGGCTGTGGACCCAGCCCCAGGGTTCCTTCTTGGCTACCAGCCTGGGTCCCCGGACTCAGGGCCATATGGCAGGTTCAGTAACTGAGCCAGTCCCCGACATTCCTGCGTGGCAGCCCCGGAGGGCCCCACTGCCCGTGGCCCACTCCTCACCTCTGCCAGCCCAGAGCCCCTGGGAGCCTCAGTGTGCTTGGGGTGGCAGGGGCACAGGCTTCCTCCCCAGCCAACCTGGAGGCGTGTGTGATGGTAAAACCCCAAGAAAGTGCTGCCGAGGCCCCTGCCCCTTCCCACTGCCACAGGATTGGTGTGGCCACGCTTGACCCGGCTGCTCTCGGAGTCTGGGGCACGGATGGGGCCTCAAGTTCTGTGCCTGGTCAGCCGGGCCAATGATCTTTAATAAGGCCGTCATGGATGTTTCCTCGTAAGTCCGTTTTTAAGGAAATGTTTGCACATCGAGCACTTTCCCACAGCTCTGGGACAATGTGCTGCCCCTTGCCAAAGATCACTTTGCCACCCTCGTCCTTCCTGTAGCTGGAGGTGGGCCTGGAGGCCCGCCAGGCCCGCGCTGCCAAGTCGTCCCCATTGATGGTTATCAGGATGCGTTTGGTTAACATCTGACACCGAAAGGGGCCTGTACTTGGCTGGCAGGAGCTGCCCGCTGCTGAGGGGCGGGCCGTTGCGGGCCCTGCTCTGCGCGTAGGGGCTGGGGGCTGGGGGCTGGCGTGGGGCGGTAACCGCGCCCTCAGGGCCGCCGCCGCCAGTGAGAGAGCCGGGCTTGGCCATGGCCGTCCGGACCAGCCACCTGGTCCTGCTCCGGCTCTTTGAAGCCCTTCCAGTTTGCCCGGCTCAGTACGCCCGGCGTGGACCTTCGCATTTCCAGTTCATCCACATCCACAAAGCAAAGCCGAACTGCCCAGCTGCCCGGAGGCCCAGTACCCCTGCCCTCTGGGCCTGGTCACCGAGCGAGGCCTCTGTGGGAAGGTGCGTCTGGGTGATTCTCTGGGCCTGTAATGACCTCCCGTCTCCCCCACCCCGTGGTGGGGACTGGCCCCCTTCTCACGGTCCTCCTGCTTGGGACCATGTGGAGGCCGCAGCTCTTGGGCCAGCCCCTGATTGCTGAGTGGTCAGGGCGGGGACAGCAGCAGTGTCTGGCTACGTGGGGACCTGGCCACAGAAGAGCAGGTGGGGGGACAGCAAATGGCAGTGTCTGGGTTTCCAGGGACCGCAGCCCCTGGGTGGGAGAAAGGATCCAGGGCCTGGGTGACTGCAAAGTGCGTGTCCAGGCAGAGAGGGAGAGGGGCGCCTGGGGTGTGGCTGGGGTGGCGCAGGGAGGCCCAGGGGACCTGTTGCTTGCCCAGAGGGCTAATGACCAGATGGGTAAGGCGCTGAGTGAGTGTGTGAGACGGGCAAGTCCCTCATGTTCTCGGACCTGGAGGTGCTAGAGCAGGAAGGGCGTGGAGACGTTCACGCCGGACCCCTTTTCCTGGGGAAGCCGAGGGCCAGCGAGGTCGGTCACGGCCCAGGCCACATGAGGAGAGGGCTCCTAGGCTCCCATGCCAAGAGGTCATTGGGGGGGTCCTTGTGGCCCTCGTGGTGTGCGCGCCAGGGCCTGGGGCGCTGTGTCCATGCAGGGAACGTGGAGGAAGGCCCTGCCATGTGTGCTATTTGCTGAGCCCTGGGGCTTGCTGGGCACCAGCCTGGGGACTCAGGGTGAGCCCGGCGGGTGAGCGGTGCTGCTCCGGACGACTCGGCCTCTTCCATCTCAGCTCCTGTCTGTGTCGTGAGACCCCCACTTCTCAAGGCTGTGGGAGGGTTGCGCCTGGTCATGCCCGCCTTCCCCATCAGGTTTTGCCCAGGACTTCTCTGTAGTGGCCCCAAAACATGTGTTCAAGTCCCAGTGCCTGGAAGCTGTGGATGTGACCTTATGTGGAGAAGGGGTCTTTGCAGAGACGATCAAGTTCACGAGGAGTGGTCGTCCTGGATTATCTGTGTGGGCCCTAACTCCGTGACGAGTATCCTTGTAGGACACAGAAGAGAAGGCCCACAGAGAGGGAGAGGCCACGTGGCGATGGAGGCAGAGGCTGGGGGGCTGCGGCCACAAGCCCAGGATGCCCGGAGCTCCCACGAGCTGGAGGAAGTGGAAAAAAGCCCCCCTGGAGCCACTGGGGGGAGTGTGGCCCTGCGGACCCTGATTTCAGAGCGTCGGCCCCCAGGACTGGGAGAAGCATTACTGTCCGTGTTTCTGAGCCGCGGGGCTTGTCGCCGCTGGTCATGGCTGCCGGGACACTGACACGTTCTTGCTGCCTGAGACTCCCCTCACTGTCATGCACCTGCCAGGTTGTAGCTTCGCTTCCATTCCTGAGAGAGGAGCCCCTGGATGCCCACCCGAGTGCCCACTCCTGCCCCTTTAGGAATGCCACCACAATCTGTGACATGCATTTATTGATCCCTTATTGATCAATGAGTAATGAGTAGTCACTATTGATGGCTATTATTGTTCTTAATTATGATTAGTGTTATTATTAAGTGAACAAGTGAATGAATAATTATCTCCTCATTCATCCACCCATCCAAATCCCACCCATTCATCCATCCGCCCATCCATCCACCCACCCATCCATCCACCCACCCACCCATCCATCCATCCAGTCCACCCACCCACCCCGTCCACCCATCCACCCTGTCCATCCATCCGTCCATCCATCCATCCATCTACCCACCCATCCACCCACCCACCCATCCACCCATCCATCCACCCAGCCACATATCCACCCACCCATCCACCCATCCATCCTCCCGCCCACCCACCCACCCACTCACCCACCCATCCAAGCACTCCTCTCCCTCCCCATTCCTCCCTCCCGCCTGCTTCTATGGCAAACGTTCTTCTAGACACCCGGGTGCAGGATGGACTGTGACCCTGCTCTCACCATTGGAAGGTAGCCACAGGCACTGAACAAGTTATTATGTAAAAAGTTCCCCTAGGATTGTGAGGAGCGGCAGGAAGGAAGCAGTGCCCACTGGGTGTATAGCCAGGGTGTCGCCTCATCTGGCGGTCAGGGTGGGCTTCTCTAAGCCAAGATGGATCGGGGTGACCTGGGAAAGAGTGCAGAAGAGCAGTCCTGGTGGGTGAGGGGGAAAGGAGTGGGCAAAGCCTCTGAAGTGGGAAGTAGGTGGGGTGTGAAGAGCAGAGTGCCAGTGTGTGTGGTGGGGGTGCGGGAAGAGGCTGTCAGGGAGGCGGGGGGCCATGCCTTGGGCCAGGGCAGAGTTTTCTGGTGGTGGTAACATACCCAGAGTCAGTGGACCGCTCTGGGGGTGCAGGCTTGATGCGGAGCCCTCCGATGTTGTTTTGTAATCTTTGCGTTCTCAAAAGGTTATTCTGGAAGAAGACCCCAAGGTCGAGATGGGCACTTGGAGGCTTTAGATGCCGAAGCAGTTTTATTTTGGCCAAGTCAGCTGAAGGAGCACGTGGGCCTAAAATTAGGCAAGTGTGTGCGCTGAGAACAGCTCACACGCCTGGAACTCCCGTGGCCAGCACCTCTGCCACTTTCCCCTGTCTGTCAACGGCACAGTCTGTTCGGACCTTTGGAACATTCCTCAGCTTTTATTTAATGTAGGAAGAATCATTTCTGGAATTAGCATATAAATTGACCAAAGTCAGCAGCCCTGGCAGAAAATGCCCTCCCAGGTGTCTGGGCGGGATGGCCGGAGGTGGCCAAGGATGGGGCAGCCACCCAGTCCCCGGCTCGCCCGTTTCCCTGCTTAAGCTGCTCCAGCCTTTTTCACAAACTACGCACCTGGGGAAGGAACACGGGCCCCTTTAGCACGGCCCCGGGGGAGGGGGTCTTGGCCGGGCTGGGAGGCTGGGGCGGAGCTGAGTGTGTGGGAATCTTTCCAGCTAAATGGCTTGCTAGGGAAAATTGTCCCACAGGGTAGCTCCCCCAGGCCTACCTTCCAGAACAAGGTGACCCAAAGGGGACACCAAGCAGTGCTCGCTCCCGGGAGGCCATGTGTCCTCCGGCCGGGGGCAGATATTGTACACATTTCATAGCCCCATGAGTATCACCCTGTGGATAAGGGTGACCAGTTGATCATTAACTGTTTGCCACGTGTGGCATTCCAACTTCTGGCTCGAGAGAGCTCCGTGCGGGTGTTGATCCTGCCTCGCCATTGGGCCTCGGCTGGGCGGGCCGGCCTGCCTGTGGCGGGCGGGGCAAATTCTCTGCTGCCTGCCCCTGGCCTCCCTGGCTCCCTCGGGCTCCGGCATAAACGCCTGATTATCCTTTGGGGTGTCCGGCTGCCCCGGGCCAGCCTGCGACATGGCCCTGTCTTCCTCCCGAGGAGGGTCTCTGCCAAGTGCCGCTCTCGGTCAGGTTGAAAGCCCCCCAGAGCCAGAGTTGGGCACCGTGGCTGGGCTGGGGTCCAGTGGGGCACACACATCAGCAGGTGCTCATCACTCGCATTCACTCAGTTCTCTCTCCCAAGACTCGGAAATGTCTTCTCTTTGCAGAGGCAGTTTCAAGGCATTAGGGAAACCCGCCTTTAGGCATGAGCCCCCGGAGCGCCGGCTCTCTGGGCCAACCCCACCCCTGCGCACAGGGCCTCCCGGGCCTCCCGGCTCTGCTCATGCCCTGGCTTCCCTCCTGGCCGTGCCCCCCGCATCCCCGCCTCTTCTCTGCCTGGGGAAACACAGCCCCTCCGGGACACTTCCACCTAGGGTGAGTGGTAAATTCCATCACTCACCTGGGCTTAGAACTTTGCGTGGCTTCTCAGGACAGAAGTCTAAGAGAAAAATCCCGACTCCCTGGCTTGATGCAAAAAGATGGGCATAGCCCGCCCCTCATTCCTGGCCCCTGCAGCCCTGCTGTCCCCACGCTTTCTTCCCTCTCGGCACTCGTCTGCCCTGCTGTGCGGGGTCCCAGGTCCCGGGTGCCCTCCCACGTCTGTGAGTCTCGGGCCAGATGGGCTCTGAGCGCTGTTGAGGGGATGGCCGGGCATGGAGGCCTCCCAGGCTCGGGGGCCGGGGGCAGCCAAAGGCAGTGGGTGCTGGGAACCCAGGGTGCCTGGGTAGAGGTGGCCAAGAGCGAGACGGGCAGAAGCCAGACCCAGGCATGGCCACGCCACCACCTTGTGAGATCAAGCGAGTTGCCTGCCATCCCTGTGCCCGGCTTTTCCACTGGGGATACAACAGCACTTCCAGATGGACTGGACGCCACTGGCACACACTGCACCCGGTGGGTGCTCCAGGAATGGGTCTGAGCGTGGTGGCCAGGGCCCTGGGGGAAGGGCGTGTGGGGAGTAGAAGGACAAGGCTGGTCCCCAGGATGGGTGTTACGGGGAGAGGCTGTTTTGTTCCCCAGCCATCACCCAGGACAGGGAGGGACTGGGTCGCGCGCCGGGGTCCCGCTGGGCTCTCCCCCACTGCAGCCGGGCAGCAAGGGGCTGGGGCTCTGCCTCCGCTTTCCACATGGACGCTGCCTTGTGCTCTTCTCGGTGGCACAGTGGGGCCTTTGGGCCTCAGCCTGGCAGCCGCTTGGCCACTTTGTGACCACAGCAAAATTGTCTGCGGGTTTCGCTCGTGACCTCCAGCCCCAGCCCCTCTGAAGCCGTGGCCAGGAATACAGGAGCCCCCCTACCTGGGAACGCCGCCTCAGCCCAGCGTCAGCAGCGCCGAGAAGGACCCAAAACATAATTTCCTCTCATGGGCTTCAAACTTGGAGCAGGAGATAAAACGCCAGAAACAAAAAGGCTTATGTCACAGCGGCCCTGACACAGGGTGGCTCCGTGTTGAGTGAGTGAAGTCGCCCTTCCTTCACCGGACCCTGACTCTGTGCAGGACTTGGCTGGACGAGAGGTCACCTCCAGGTGACCCTGGAGGGCGCTGTGTGTAGCCCGTTTCCGACAGCTCAGACTCACAGCCGCGATTCGGAGAACAGGCGTGCCTGCCTCCCATGTTTACCAAGCACTTAATACTGGGAGGCCCCCGCCGAGTGTGTTATCTTATTGATGTGCATATCTCATGTGGTCAGAGCCTGCCGGTCACCCCCGCTGGCCCCAACATCCTGGCGGACGCCTGTCACCTGGGCCTGTCACCTCCTGAAAAATACAAACCCGACGCGTCCTGCTTGGACGGGGAAGAGGATGGTCTCCTCGTGTGCAATCCCCTACAGGGCCCTGTGGCCTGTCCGCGGGCGAGGTGCCCTCTGTGGCTCTGGGGGGTGGGTGGACTTGTTCATGTGCTTGACTTCCAGGACTTTCTCTCAGAGGTGGGGTCTGAAACCAGTTGAGGCTGATTCTCCAGCCCACCCATAACCTGAGCCCTCAGATCCTTCCCAAGTGAGGGGATGATTCCAAAGATGTTTCAGGGGAGGCCAAGGGCCGGGGGGTCCCACCTTCCTGGGATCCTGCACCAGCAGCCAGTAGCGAGGGTCCCAGGAAAAGATTCTGCCTAGAGAGAGCTTTTTCCCCTTGAAGGAATGAAAAGCACACACATACACATTCCTCCGAATCAGAGGTATGCCCAGGGGGGAGGGCGGGCAGGGCCCCTTGACCGGCCTGCCGCCAGCAGCCTGGGCACATGACAGCTCTGAAAGCTGCTGGCACCAACTTGGGCCGGGTGTTTGCAGTGGACAGCAGTACCAGGGGGTGGGAGGGTGGCCTTTCACCAGCTGGGCACCTTGGCCATGTGATGGCTGCTTCTCGGGGCAGGCAGGTGCAGCCTGAGGGGTGCCCTTGCCTGCCAAACCTTCCAGGCCTGGCCTCTGTGCCCGCACTCTTGCCATTTCTGGCCGAGGTTGCTGGGGGTCTGTGGCATGAATAAGGAAGACTCAGTCAGGACGTAGGAACCCAAATCCCTTTGTGCGACTCCCCCAGGTAACCGGGAAAGGCACTTCACAGTTCCTAAGCCAGGTCCTATCTAACGGCCTCAGCGGCCCAGCAGACCGGGCGCTGGTACTGCCCCCATGGAGGAGGGGTAGCCTGGGCCTCTGGGACCTGGCTGACCCTCACACAGTCACACAGTGTGGCTGCTGGGCTGCATCCCAGGGCTGTAGGCTGGAGACCTGGGCCTGCTGGCCTCAGGGCCACGGCTGCCGATGTGTGTGTAGTAAAAGAAATGAGCCAGCAAACAAGTAGTTGTATCAGAGTCCTGGGGCTCCCAGAACAAAGGGCCACGAGTGGGGGGGTCTGGAGGCCGGAAGTTGGGGATCAAGGTGCTGGCAGGGCCCTGCTCTCTTACCAAGGCTCCAGAGGACGGTCATTCCTGCCTCTCCCGTTTCCCTGGTCGCTGCGTTCCCTGCCTGTGGCCGCACCCCTCGAAGCCCTGTCGGCCTTCCTCTGCTCTCCCTTTTCGGGACGCTCTGCCATGGATTTAGGGCCCTCCAGGACAATCTGGCCTCAAGATCCTTAGCTTAATGCCATCTGCCAAGATCTTTTTTTCAAATAAGGTCACATTCATAGGCCCCGGGGGTTAGGACTTGGACAGATCTTTTCGGGGACCAACATTCAACTCACTGCTGGAGATTGCACAAAAGTCTAGATTTCCATTTCTCTTGAAAAAGATCAGAGGACCTGACCACCCCATCGAGCCCTCCCCTGGCAATGAGAGGGGGCTGCAGGGCAGATACGCACGCTGCTCTGTGGGTGGTGCTCACCAGCTTCTGTGGCACCACTCCCCCCAAGCCCTGCCGGGGATGCCTGCCAGGTGTGACCAGCCCATTTCATAGGCAGACAAGCTGGAGCAGGGGATGTGGGGGGTGCCGGCTTTGTGGGCAGTTACTGCCAGGCCCTGGGGTGCTCAGGGTACAAACACCTGCTTGGCCTATAGTCAGCCAAGGGAGAGGCTGGGTGGCTCAGGAGGGGCAGCAAGTCTTTCTGGTCACATGGAGCCGTTGCAGGGTTCTCGGGTGTCCTCTATGCCCGCTGGTCCCCTCGGCTAGCTGGTGTTAGGCTGATAACCCTTCAGAATGATCAAATACGGGCCCGTGTCTTTTGGGATGAGCAGCCACTGACACTCTGGGACCAGCCCCTTTCCCCTGTAAAGCTGAATACCACGCTCCCGCCATGTGCCCGGGCAGACTTAATTTGATGGTCAGGTGAGAGAACGCAGAAATGTTTTGGGAACTGGGGAGCATTCAGAGGGAAGAAACTTATCAATAACAATAGAACGTCCGCCTCCTCAGCTGTATTTGAAGCGCACTGAGAAGCTTCAAGGACTCATCCTGTCGAGTTTCCTCGGTTTTTGCGCACCTGTCATACACTCACCCTGAGCTAGGCATTGAGCGAACGGAGAGTTTATGCGAGAGGGGCCTGCCTCTGCCCCTGGCCCTCTGCGACCTTGGGTGACGCTGTCCGAGAGGCTGGGGCTGTGGGGCATCCGAGGGGCAGGAGCCAGGCGGTGCAGGACGGAGGGTGCCTTGTGGAGGGAGCATGGTAGCCTGTGGACAAGCTGCTGCTCCACTGAACCCCAGCTTGGCTGCTCAGGGGGCCCCTCCTCACCGTGGCTTCAGGCCGCGGGGGCACTCAGCAGGGTGGCTGGCAGTGGGCAGGCAGGGGAGGCCTGTGCCTGCTTTCTGGCCTCTGGAGAGCAGACCAGCAGGAGCTGGCCTCTGGGTGCGGCAGGGGTTCCTGGATGTCCATCCTGATGTTCATTCTCCCCTCCTTTTAACATAGAAAGTTTTGGGGGCTTTGTGGCCCAGTTAATAGGCTACATTTCCCAGCGTCCCTTGTAGCTTGAGAAGTGTATCAGCTAGCTGTTGCTGTGTAACGAATCACCCAAAACTTTGTGGCTTAAAACAGCAGGACTTTCTTACTTCTCATGACTCTGTGCGTTAGCTGGGTGAGTTTTCTCATCTGAGCTGGCCTGGTGGAGCTGAGTGACCTCGGATGGCCTCACTCCCGTGCCAGGGCCTCAGCTGGGCTGGCTGGAGTGCAGGGGTGGCTAATGCTTCTTCCCTTGTGCTCCCACCTCCCAGAAGACTAGCCCGGGCTTCTCACATGGCGGCAGAGGGTTCCCAGCACAAGTAGATGGCAAGGCCAAGTGCAGAGGCCTTTTCAAGACCTGCATCCAGCTCTTGTTCCTTTGGACAAAGCGATCCACAGGGCCAAGTTCAGATTCAAGAGTGGGGAAAGAGGCTTTGCCACTTGATGGCAGAAGTGACAAAGGCCAGTCGTCATGCATACAGGGGAGCATGGACGGACTGGGGCTCACTGACTGCTATGATCTGTCACCGAGTATAGGACTCAGTTCTGGCTAAGGAGGCCCAAGTAGAGCAGCGTTTTCTAGGAAATGTCCTTAAAGGGAGCAGACACACTCCCCCTCCTCCCTTCCTCCGTCCTCCTGCTTGGGAGGTGAATGTGAGGGCTGGAACTCCTGCAGCCATCCTAGACTGTGAGAAAGGCCGCCACGTCCTGGAGGCAGTGAATCAGTGAATTGGAAGGAGGCTGGAATCCTGCCCTCTCCTTGGGGCCTTGGACGACTGGGCCTGGATTTCTTTGACGTGATAGGAAAGTTACATGTGGTCAAATTTTGTTCTGATTCATACATTTGGCAAAGGCTCCCGTCTCCCAGAACGTGAGCATTCTGGTGGGCTCTCGGCACCACCTGGGCGGTGCAGGGATGAGCTTGAAACATGAAAGGAGCCGTTCTGGTGCTTCTAAGCCCGGAAGAACGAACCACTGGCCTTTTGGGGTGGATGGCCTGGTTTGGGCAGTAGGAGCAGGGCTTGGGGAAGACAGGCTTTGAAGGCCTGGGAGCCCGCGGGGGAGGGTGGCAGCCTGGTTGCTGCCCACCTAATGCCACCACAGCCCTCCACAGCAGCTCTGCCATTCCAGGTTACGGCTGGGCAGATTTTCATGTGTCGCCAGCCCGGAGCCGAGATTCCAGTGCTTGGACCTGGCTGCAGATGGTAGTGGCTGGGGTGGCGGGTCCAGAGCCATTGAGCCAGCCCGTTTGTTCCCCCCTCATTCACTCATTCATTCACTCACTCACCCACCCACCCACTCACCCATTCACTCACCCACACACTCACTCATTCATTCACTCACCCACACACTTGCTCATTCATTCACTCACCCACATGCTCGCTCATTCATTCATTCACTCACCCACACACTCTTTCATTCATTCACTCACCCACCCACTCACTCATTCACTCACCCACACACTTGCTCATTCATTCACTCACCCACATGCTCGCTCATTCATTCATTCACTTACCCACACACTCATTCATTCATTCACTCACCCACCCACACACTCACTCATTCATTCACTCACCCACACATTCATTCATTCACTCACCCACCCACTCACTCACTCATTCACTCACCCACACACTCGCTTATTCATTCATTCACTCACCCACACACTCATTCATTCATTCACTCACCCACCCACACACTCATTCATTCACTCACCCACACACTCGCTCACTGGTCTGACGCTTTCTGAACGACTCCCACAGGCCGGTGTGACTCCTCGTGCTGGGGACAGCTGTGTGCAGACAGGCCTATTTCTGTCCTTGCGGCTGCATTCCCCCAAGATCAGAGACACGTCAGCCAGCAAAGCCCTCACAGGAGCACGCAGCCCTTGGAGGACGTGACCCCAGCCCAGAAGCGGGGCCCTGGGGGGACAGCCTGGCCGGGAAGGTGCGGGATCTCCCCCAGGGCCGCATGTCCCAAGGGCAGGAACATGGGCTGTCTTTGCGTCCCAGCTGACTCGGCAGCCGTGGAATCTCGGGTGAGGCTGTCCATGCTCTGGGCTGCGGTGGCCCATCTGTGGACTGGGGGTGCTGGTGCGCTGCTTCAGGGGCTGGAGAGAGGATGTGGCCGCCCCACATTCAGAACATGCTGGGGCTGCTTCCCGCGGAGACTCTGTTCTTTGGTCAGTGCCTGGTGGACCCCTGGGGGCTGCTGGCCAGGTGGGCAACACTGAGGGGTGTCCCTTCACACCCTTGTGGTAGTCCCCTCGGGCTGCTGGACCAGCAGCTTCCGCCGCAGTGAGCTCTCCCCCAGGCCCGGGGCTGGAGGCTGAGTCCTGGGAGTGGGCAGGGCCGGCTCCCCCTGAGCCTCTCCCGGGCCTGGGGCTGCCGTCCCCTCCTTGCGTCCTCATGTGGCCGTGCCTCTGTGCGCGTCTGTGTCTGGTCTCCTCTGATAAGAACACCACCACATGGGATAGGGGCCACCCTGTGACCTCATTTACCTTAGTCACCTG